GTAAGGACATCTTTTCATTATTCCAAGCAAATAATTTCACCCATAGACAAGGAGGAAGAAGCAATGGCAAGAACATCACACTGCAAATCAGGAGTCCTGGCCTTGCCATTTGACGGATGACTTGGACAAGTTTTTAAAGACTTAAAATTCATTCAATCAACAAATATTTATAGAGTGCCTGTCAGATCCCTGTTCCATGTTATTCATATATATATATATATATATATGTATATATATGTATATATATATATTTGGTCTTTTTGAGACAGGTTCTCCCTGTAGACCCAGCTGTCCTGGAACTCACTATGTAGACCAGGCTAGCCTTGAACTCACAGAGATCCACCTGCCTCTGCTGGGATTAAAGGCGTGTGCCACCACACCCAGCATAATTTATATTTTATTGGAAGAAGACATGATATAATAGAAACATGGGAAGGAAGAAATTTTCAGAGAGCAGAGGGTAATTTAGAAAGGATTAAGACAGTGATGAAGTCTATGTAGTCATTTTAGAAAAGTGAAATCTGAGCTAAAATCTGAGTAGCGTCATATTTCTGGACATCCATATTTTCTCCTATAAAAGATGACTAACTGAGCAGGGAAGCTTTGAAAGTCTCCCAGCTCCAGGACTGAAGGATTTCATGGCTGTTAGAGATACATTATCTGTATATATACACTTATATTCCTAACATCGAATTATAGCTTGTGTTTGGTAAAGTGGACCAAGTCTGGGACTCTTAGTTTTGAAGACATTTAAAGCAACAGTAAATTATTTTAAAGGAACTACACACAGCTTTTCATACTGGACTTTTGTTATTTTTTAGGTCTGTCTGACAAGGGAAGTATGTATTTTGCTAACATTTTGGTAAACGAAGTCAACTGGTCTCTGACCAAAAGGGTTAATCATGAACTCACCAGTTTCAAACTATACAAAATATATCACTTTAAAATGAGATTAGAAATTATCTTAAACTTTTCTGGTAATCATATCCCCCAAATTTATAAAAAGTTAAAAGGCAAAACTCTAAACTACATGTTCCTTTTTACATAAAAATGTGGGAAAAATTTGAGATGCTGAGGTACGGAAGTTTTTAAAGGAAATATCAGTATTTTGACCCGTATTTGTCATGCACCAGTTAACTAGAAAATTATAAAAGCTGAAGAATTCTGATAAACTGTACCATGGGGATTAATGCAATACATTCGTCCCCTCCCCCCCCTTCCCACAGCATCTCCTCACTCCATTTCTGAGATGGAAATTAAAGCCTCTCAAACTGTTGAAAAATGAGGGTCTCTAAATTTTTAATTCTGTTAACTAATCATTAGAAAACTAAAAATTGCTGCCTGTCTAAGAAGCAGTGAAGGGGCAGCACCACAGACTGTGTTGAAATTTGCAGGAGCTGACTGATTTCCCAGCAGTGTGATGATTTGTGGGGCCACTACTTTCGGCACCACAAGGATAATGAAATATTAAGGCCCTCTTTGATTTTGATGTATGCCAAGTCTAAGAGGATTACCAGCACAGTAAAGTTAGACTTTCTTTTTTTCCTTTTTTTTGGTAATTAGACATTGATAGCATTATCTGTTCTTATATTCAGTCTGTAAGAATGGGTCTTGTTATCATTAATATTACTGAAAATACCTCTGAGAAAGAAATAAGTGATAGAGAAAAGTGAAAAAATGAAAGCCCACGGAGGAAACATTGCTGGCTTCTCTGGGAATCTCAGATATGTAGATGGCAAGTACTATTGGTGTGTGAGGAAATGGCAGATGAGATGATCAAGCAGCACACAGTTCATCTGTCTTATTCAAGGTTCCATTTTACACACGAAGTAGCCAAGGCATGCAGAGTTAAGTCCTCTCCAGGGTCATACATACAGTGTAGAAGGCTGGCAGATAAACGCTGCCCACCAGCACCCAGATCTTTCCATTGTTCTAGAGAAAGATAATATGATTTTTGAAAAATAGTAATTTAAGAGATGATAGGAACTATGGACAGTTTTACAACATTCCAGAGGTTGATGAAGTTTCCATTCTGAAACCACAGCTTTTCTGCATTCATTTCCTAAAGAGCAAGAAGATGTTTTAATTATAAGACAAAATTCATCATCAAATCAACTTCTCCTCCCTAAAAGATCTGAATTATCAGAGGCAGGCAGACAGACACAAAATACTCTTTTCAAAGGAGGGAAAGACACTGTTTCTTGGAGGCGACTGAAAATGAGCAGCATAGAACAGCCAGTATGGGAGTGTACTTATTTCACTACCAAACACTTAAGAAACCCTGGTCACTTACTTCTAAGAACAGGGAAACTTTTTTAATCTAAGAGGAAAGTAGAAAATAGGGAAGGCAAGAGGGATGTGAGATAATTTCTGCTGGTTTTTCTGAGACTTCCAGAAGAGGTATTTTCGGGGGGGGAGGTGATGTTTGTCCCTTTATAGAGGAAAGATTAGTCAAGGAAAGTTACATACAGAGTTCACAAATGAGAGAAAGGACGTTTCACTCATGGCAATCAAGTTTGAAATGCACATGAATGAAAAATAATCTTAGTAACAGAGACTCCGCTGCCTTATCTCTCCTGTTTTGGGAAAAAGTTAAGCAATAAGGAAATTAAAATCTCAGAAATATTCAGACATTATCGAAATCATGTAAAAGTTATCATTTGAGAAACAGGAACATGGAGAAAAATGTAAAAGAAACAGTGGTGACACATTATTTGTGAAGTTTGAGTCAAAATATAAAAATGTATGTTCTCTTGTTTGACCATGACAGATAAAATGGCTATTTCCTCTTTCCCAGCTTCTGTTTTATAATATTTTCAGCAGAGTTCTGACACTGCATGAACCAGAAGAGCCAGCTTCATCATCCTGAGCCTCTAACAATCAAGGGAGATAACACTGAACAAGGTTGAGAACCTGAGAAATGGAGGCTGCATCAGTAAGAGACATTAAGTACAACAAAATTTATTTAATATGAGAGTCAAACCAGAAGTTCCATGTGGTAAAAATATCACATTTTGATTTAAGGTTAACTTCAAGAATGGTACATGAGTCTTCACTATTTTCTTTTTTATGATACTTTATTATTTTTATTTTATGTGTATGAGTATATTGCCTGCACATGTGTAAGTACACCCATGTTGTGCAATGCCCTGAAACTGGGGACAGTTGTTAGCCACCATTTGGGTTCTGGGAATCAAACTCATGTCCTCTGCAAGAGGAAGTCAATGCTCTTTACCACTGAGCCATCTTTTCAGCTCAGCCTTCACTATTTTCTAAAACAAGCCACCTCTAGCTTCTATACCAATTGCATCTGTGTTCTGGGATGGCTCTGAGCTCTTTTATAGGAGCTGCAGGTGGTCTCCTGATGTCATTCAAGGTAAGGCACAGAGACTGGGCATGCTGATAAGGTCACACTGCTTCAGAAGAACATTACAGGCATCAGTGATCTTTTCGTTACAATCCATTTCAGTACAATGGCAAGACGAGAATTTTTGATAAATCAGTTTTTGAATCTCAATTTAACTTGGAAGAGTAAATAATGGTATTTATCTCTAAAGAAAATAAACATACAAAAATAGTAATTATGAAGGTAGCCTGAAGTGAGTTCAAAGATGCCCTTAATATTTTATTCATCCCCCCCCTTTTTTTTCACAGTTGGGGCTGAAGGTATAGCTCAGTGGTAGAGTATATGCTTAGCATACAGAAGGCCTTAAATTCAATCCCCAGTAAACTGCCCTTCCTGAAGCATCTCTGATCCACCTCTGCTCAAGGAAACAAAAAGGCAGAAATCCACTGTTTTTATTAGACACAGGAATGAAAATATAAATATATATTATAAAGTTTTAAAATTAGGAGGTAAGCTGAATTGGTGCCAGAATTCTAGGAAAGTCTTTTACAGATGAGGTCTGGGTAGTCTTGGTGTCTCACTGTTCCTGATTGGGCTACTCTGCATGGACAAGCACTTGGCTGAGGTTGTAGCTACTGCAGGATGCTAGCTAGGTCCTACAGGTGCACTGATTTACAAATTAAACCAAGCTTCCACACAATAATTTACAACTTAAGCCAAACTCCAACAACTACCATATCTCTTTAATTTTGGAATTAGCATTCATACTCACTTAGTGAACTAGTATTTAAGTTTGTATATGTGCACAGAGTATGTAAGTTTTCATAAGAGTAAAGAGACAAGGAGCTTTAAAAGAATAACAGGTAGTCTCAGTGTTATTAGCAAAAACAATGAGTCTTTCTGTAAGAAAGAGTATATTATAAAATGAAACGGAGATCTTTTTTAAAGGTTAAAAACTCATTCAATCTTATTATCTTACAAGGTTTATACTTAATTCAATATTGTATAACTGTATTAATTCAACAGTGAACCTAAAAATTTTATAGCCACTTTTGAAAGAGATGTATCTTTGCTCTGGAAACTGTTATTGAATATGTTAAAGCTGTAATGAAATGCTTCATCTAAAAAATAAAAAAATATAATTAAAAAAATAACAGGTAGGAGAAAGCAGCTCAACTACACAGAATTCAAAGGACAGTCAAGCTGGCAGTGGTCAGACAGGCTCTAGTGAGGAGGACTGAAAGAAGGTGTGGAAAAACTAAGGCTTCATGTCTGAGGTGAAGAAGAATGAAGGGCATTTTACTGTGCACAAGCAGAGCATGAGAGGAACCAGCTAAATTGCATCCTACTTTTCCATCCAGACCTCCGTTTCTCCTGGAAAGGGTGAGCACAACAGTTAGTATTGGTAATAGTCTTCAAGAAAGAAATGACAAGCATGTGTTTGATAAGCAAGAGATGACTGAGTATACCCAGTCATGTTCAGTCATGTAGAAAAATCAGAAGAAACTGTATTGCATATATTCACTCACTAAGCAGCTGACCTGCTGCACATACTGGAAAGTCTATATTACCAAGTGGATAATTCACCTGAATGCAGTTGAAGCTGCCCTCTAATTACTGTAATTTGGAATAGGATCTGCAGATGGCTGCTTACCTGTCTCTGGGGCCATGTGGCTCTGAGAATGGCTTCTGTTCGGAAGAATACCAGAAGCTTGCTGTCCTCCTCACTCAGATGGAAGGACTGCCCCAAGATCTGCAGCGCCTGGACACGGGGCCTCACGGGACAGGTATCATTGGCACAGAAAGGTCGCAGCCACTCCAGCAGCTCCTCAGCTGACACCAGCTCCTCCCTAGAGGGCAAAATCACAGAGAAAGAGAAACTCCTAAGTCTATATTCCTTCTAGTGATCAAACACTACCATTGACCCAAAGACTTGCTGAATGACTTTATGTTTTTCTTTGTAAGAGGAAATATTTACATTTTTAAGTGACTTACAGCCAATCATACTGGACAACGTTAAAACTATACAAAATAGGGGCTGGAGAGATGGCTCAGCGATTAAGAGCACTGACTGCTCTTGCAGAGGACCTGGGTTTGATTCCCAGCACCCACATGGTGGCTACGAACTGTCCTTAGCTCTAGTTCCAGGGGACTCCGAAGCCCTCTTTGGACCTCTGCTCAGTGTTGCATGGCACGGGTATACTCATATTCACACAGGCGATATACACATAAAAATAAATAAATAAATAAAGTATCTTTTAAAAACTATGTAAAATAAATGTAAATTTTAAACAGTATCCTGTTAAAATGAGTAAAGTAGATTTAAAAAAACCCATTAACTAATATGTTCTTAGGTGGTTTCTTTTTTTTACAAAATTTATTAAATAGTAAACCTTTCTTCTATTAATTACACTAATAGTGTCAGGTACCGTTCTAGTAACTATATATATTCTATTACTAGTTGGCAATAACAATGCAAAGTAGATATCATAAATTGTATTTGCTAGAACAAAAATAGGCTGCAAGGAGGTAACATATAATCTGCTCAGCATCTGTAGCATAATTTAGTTTAACTCCACAGCCTGAACCTTTCTGTCACTTTCCAATGTGATCAGAATTTCAGTATGTGCATAAGTATCACAGGAAATACTACCTTAAAAATAAAATAAGAACAGAAAAAAATTTTTTTTTACTATGTTTCCTGTAGCCCCAGTCTACCTGGAACTCACTATATAGACCAGACTGATTTCGATCTCAGAGATCCATCTGCCTCTGCCTCCTGAGTGCTGGGATTAAAGGCATGCACCACCACGCATTTTCTGTACATATGTTTGAAACCAACTACTGTAAAGAATACCTATTAGAAATGTTTGCTTTATTTTTATCTGCCAACAAACTAATTTGAAAATTTTCATTTTAGTCAAAATAGTCTCCTGTGATGTGTGATGGCGCACGCCTTTAATCTCAGCACTCAAAAGGCAGAGGTAGATGAATCTCTGTGAAATCGAGGCCAGCCTGGTCTACAGAGTGAGTTCCAGGCCCACTGGGGCTACAGGGAAACACTGTCTCAAAAAGAAACCCCCCACCAAAAAAGGAAAAGAGAACGATTAGTCTCTTGTGCTAACATTAAAAATAGCAGTCATTTGATTTTAAATTGTCAAAATATCCATGATACTGGTGAAAACTATTAAAAATGAATTTATGGATAATACAGGTTAACTAGAGCCCTTATAAGAATGGTATAGTTACCACACAGTTGAAAATACATATTCAAAGCTGGGCATGGTGGTGCACACCTGTAGTGCTAGCACTTGGGAGGCAGAGGGAGGCAGATCTCTGTGAGTTCAAGGCCAGCCTGGTCTACATTGTGTGTTCCAGGCCAGTTGGGGCTACAGAGAGACCCTGTTTCAAAAAGACCCAAAAAAGAAAATACATATTCAAAAGTTGTGGTTATTTCTCAACTGTTAATTTTCCTGCTGTATTCCAGCTGACCAAGACAATGTTAAGAATGCATCTTTGTAAGTGGGTGCTAGCCAATAATGGAAATAATTTAGTAATGGACTAGATAGGACACTAATAATGAAGCCATATGTTTATATTTGGGTTTAAGATCTCTTAAAACAATCATTTGCTGTTTCACTTTATCTTTAAGAACACAAACCTATTTCATTTATTCACATCAGTAAGGTACTATTTAGGGTACAAATATTCAGTTGAATTGTTGTGCTGCAATGTGGGAAAATACAATGCTTTTCATGGTTTCTATCAACGGTGAGATAAAATTTAATCCTGGCTTTAAAAAAATGACTGCTTGGCAACTACATAACTATGAAGTCTAAAAAGATCTAAAGAAGGGGATATTGTGCACAACTTTCTATCTGGTATTAGTATCTCTTCTCTTGTAATCCCAAATGGGCCATCTCAGAAAAACAACTTATTTGATGATGATGTTGATGGCTGTTAAGCTTCATCCCTATGGCAGATTCCCTCTCCCAAGGCCTTGGGGATCCAGGCTGATGTACTGAATTGTGCAAGTGTTCTTACAGCCACATCCTTTAAAATGAATCACCTAAACTGAGCTTTAGACTAACCAAATCAAACTTTAAGCAAAATTCTTGCTCTAATAAGTACACACATATATGAACACATATAATGGGAAAAATTGGCATGCAAAAAATGTAGAGTGCACAGATAGTTCCTAGATGCTTTCTATCTGTAAAGTGATATAATGGAAAGATCATTTTTAGACCTAATTGTTCCTTGCCCCATCATTTCCTAACACTAGGCACAAATCATGAATGTCAACACTCATACTTTATAGTTAAGTAAAAGGTCTGAAGAAAGTATCTGCTGGAGTCTATACAACCAAGACAACAAATACAAAGCACCTCGCACAGTATGATGCACAGAGGAAGTACTTGATAGCTATCATCCTTGTCAGAATCCTCTGCATAATAATCATCACCACTGCCAAAGCACTACAGTGTGTGCTTGATGTATAGAGATTAAAACATTACCTGGTACCTGCCTTCAAAGACTAGTACAATGGAAGAGAAAAGATTTTTAAAGTGGCTATTATCCAAATCATTAATATAGCAAAGTTGATAGCTAGGAGGAAGTGGTATGGCATCTGAAGAGGATCGAGAATATGTAGGAGGCAGAGCAGGAGAGCAATCTAGCAAAGAGAACAGGGGAATCAGGCCAAAGCTATCCAAGGGCATAGGTTGTTCAGGGAGCAACCAAAGCCTAAGTGTGAGGTAAACAGAGAAGCAAGCTACAAAGGGACACATTTTCGTACCTCAGGACTTGAGACATTGAACTCGGGCTCGAGAAGCAGTGTAGCTGGGCGATCTGAAAGTGCAGGCTCTGAAGCTTCAGGTCCTGACTCAGGTCGCACACCTGACATCTGACAGTGTGACTTTGATCAAGGAGTCACTTAATAATTCTAAGCCTCAGTGTCCTTAACTCTCAATGAACAGTGGGTAGGAGTGTCCTCCTAATGGGGTTGTTTGTAATTAAACAGAAACATCAAGTAGTAAATGCAAAGGGAAATTCTACACCTAGTACATAGCTAAGTACTTAGGTTACTAGCAGCCATTATTGTTAAGGCTTCTCTGGCATGGAATGGGAATGATGGTAGATTTTAAAGTGATGATATATCAAGGTCACATTACAGATTAGAGCAATTGTGGAGGCTGGGCAGATTTGGGTACTTATTTGGAGGCCTGAAGCTGCCTAAGTATAAATGAAGAAATGGGGCATCTCTGTTAACTCCCACAAGTCTCAGGGAACATCTAGGAAGAGGGGCAGCAAGAAATGTAAGAGCCAGAGGATGGAGAGGAGTGCTGTGAAATGCTGTCTCAGTGATACTACATGGCTTTTGTACTCAAGAATACATTGTAGCTATGGTTACCTGCACAAGATCAAGCCAGCAGGATCAGTCAATATTTAAGCAGGCAGTGCTAATTGGACTCAGGGAGGAGGTGAGGAACGGGGAGGAGGAAGAGGAAAGAAGACAGGAAGATGGGAGGGGGACATTCTGGGGGGGGAGTTTGCAGTGGATATGATTAAGATACATTGTATGTATGTATGAAATTGTTAAAAAATAATTAAAAGGTTTAGAAATCAGGAAGAAAAGGGTTTAAGGCCCATTCTGCCAATGAATCCAAGCAAGTTTCACATAATAAGCTGGTGTTTAAACCCTCCTACCCATGTTTCAAGGTGAATGTCCAAGCTTCTCATGAAGACTAAATGAAAGTTATAAAAAACAATAACTCATGTGAATATGGTGAACAATACAGATAATAATTTCTGAAGGTTTACTATGAACTATGATCATATAATTAACTTTTCATGTATACCATCATCATTTCTAATTTTTATACAAGGAAACAATTAGAGATTTAATTGTCCACGTTTACACTGTAGGCAGTGGTGTCTATCTTACTGCCTTGAACTATCTGACTGCCTTATCAATTAGTGTCTAATGCTACTCAACCAAACTGGGACATATCTCATAACACTGCAGCAGTGATTAAGGTTACTTAGTTACTGACAAGATACAGAAAAATTATTATAACATTTTCCAAATTATTAAACTGAGATTCTTCATATTCCCAGAGCTTATTATGTAGTTACTAACCATCTGACATTTTAGAGAAACCGGTTTTAATTTTTAGTTGATATTTTAAATATATAATCCAATTATGAAAACTCATCCCATAAATAAAGTGTTCCAGAACCACCATGTCCTGAATGAGCTTCACTCTATATCCACCTGACAGAGGAGCCCAAATTCTTACACTTCTCTGCAGTCTCCCTGCCAGGAATGCTATGAGATGGTGTACACATAGCTCAAGAGTACATGAACATTCGTGTGTAGGGATCTATGCATGTGCGTGATGGCTGATGATGCACACGAGCAGGGGTTATTTACTAAGGAAACAGATACTACAAAGGATGGCTGGAGTGAGAGTTACAGTGCTGGGAATGAAAGAGGCTTGCCAACAAGAGGAAGAGGAAGTACAGAGAAGGCCTGGCACAACTCCTAGAGGTTGGATAGGTGGGTCAAGTCAGAACTGAGTGACCCAAGAGCATTTTGGGGTTGGCACCTCCAAAGACCCCACCTGGAACTATCTGCAACATAGACTCTGATGCCTCCACAGGACTCTGCCTGGCATGTGGGGAATGGAAATCCAAGTTAAGTAGTATTAGGGTGGGCTTGGCCAATTCAAAATACACTTGCTCGGAATATAAGTTATGATTTTGTATCTTTCTTCTCTTTCTTTTTCAGGCAAAAAATACTCACTGAAGGTTTTTTCAAGATTTTGTTATTCTGTCTCTGGAATAAAAAGGAAGAAAGACCTCGTTCTGCTCCACTCTCTCAAGTTTTTTTAAGCTTAAAAAAATATAGCCCGAAGAAGAAGAAAGAGTACATGAAGTTGTCAGAAAAAAGTGATGGGGAGATATGGGAGGAGTTGGAGGGAGGGAGTGGGCGTCGATTTGATCAAAACACCTTGCATGCACGTATGAAATTCTCAATAAATTTTTTTAAGGTAAAAAAAATATAGACTGTATTCTAAAGACTCAGGGTGGACGCTGGTATACCAGGCTAGAAATTCATAGTGAAAAACACTGCCTTCTAACTGTGAGATTGTCCTAGTGGGACAAGATTCTGTAACTTATTGGAATAGTAAGTTAGATCCTTTCAGTCTGAGGCAAAGAACTGAGGCCAGTTTCGTTTAAGAGAAGCTGGCTATTGGCTGTGCTCACTCACTCAGGGCTCTGAAAGTTGACCCATGGGCTGGTACTGAACGGCAGCAGATAGGAGTAATTCCTAGGAGGTGGCTAAGTACACCTTTGGTAGCATCTCTGCCTGCTCCACCACCTGCTAAATGTGCAGTGCTCAGGCAGCTTCTCAGCCTGTATCACCATCACTCTCTCCTATTAACAGACTCATTTCAGAGGCCAGGTTACTGGCCACTCACTGCATTTCCTGCTCTGCCATCCCAAGGCAGAAAAAAACCCTGTCCTGTGGCCTGCTTTCTGTATGGCACTTCTCATTCTACAGTACAGATAGGGCTATGAGCAAGCTTGTCTCCCCTGTAAAACTGTGGGTCCCTTGTGTTTAGAAGTTATTTCTTATCCCATTATAACACTTCATCACTTATGAGAGCATGGTACACTATGCTCACACGGAATAATTACATATCTCTTTAGAATAAGGGGTCTACATTAGCCACTACTATAGCTATTTTCTTATCTGAAGAACCACAAGCAAAGGGATTTAGAAAAGTGTACAAGGTGAGAGACAGAAGAAAGAGAAGGTCCTGTTTGCAATACTTTCTCTTATTCATTAATACAGCTTTTCTATATTCTCTCTCTCAAATCTGGGGCAAAAAGTAGCTCATGAAAATATACTATGACAACATCTACATAATAATCAGGAGTTAGAGCCAGGGTAGACCCTGCTTCCAAATCCCAAGTCTGTGACACTGGGCAAATCACTGAGCCTTTAAATCCTCTCCTGAAGATATCAATAGCATATTCAGCCATAGTAACCATCCTAAGAACTAAATCCACAAAGTGGAAAGTGTTATAATTACAGTAAAGAAAATAGAATATACAAGTGTCTATATATCTATATTGAAACTCTGTAATCTACATGTGTACCAAACAATAAGTGGAATTAAAGAAAATTTTGTTAATGGATTCCCTAAAACACCTCGATTATAACTTTATCATATTTTCTGTGAAAAGAAAACTAGACAGGTTGACATAGATATTGGGTGGACTAAGGTCTGCTGTAAACTTTGAGGAAGCATAGACCTGTTCAGCAGTGGTTGTTATTTTTATTAATACCACTGCTTCTGAATGAAATTCTTTCTAAAAGTGATGTTAGAGATGATAGCCACCTTTCTAACCTTTAAAGTCTGCACGCTCAATCCTCAGGGCAAGCAGCTGTTGCTAGAGCTGATGAGGTGGCCCAGCATTTGGGACCCAGGTCTCCAGCAGCAGCTCCACCCCTTAGCTACCTAGAAGGATCTTAACAATTTCTTTGTAAATACCTACACAAATGTTCCTTAGTCTGACAGCCTTGTAAATATGTACACTAAGAGCAATTCTAAGATTCTAAGGAAAGCCATTCAGCAAGGATGGACAAACTGTCCCGGTCTTACCCCTTGTCCACACTGGCGTGGACTGCCCCAACAATGCCTTCCAGGAGCTGAAGGGGGTCCTGTGGCCCACCATAGTTGGTACTGCTGTCACTGTGATGAGAAAGAGAATATCTGAGTCAGAGGAGGGTCACTCAAGCTTCAGAAATACAGTGTATTTACACACCCAGGTAAACCCAGGTGGATGTATCGCCTGCTCACAGCTACTGGTGCTGTGTGCACTCCAACATGAAGTACTGAGGATATGCAACATTTGCTTCCCTTGGGAGCTTACAGTGTAGCAGTGGTCTAACAATACATGTACCTGTTTCAATCAAGACAGTAACACAATTTACTCTGTCAGTCAAAAAACAGCTGAATATTAAAGGGTTTTAAACATTATTAAGTAGAAAAAATAATTTACTCGCTGTCTGGAACTCTAGCAAATTCTGAAAGTGTAACAAAGGAAAAAGAAATTCTATACATGTTTTCAGAATAATTTAATGATTTAAATCACCTGATGGATTCAGTTACTTCAGGTTTTTGTGACTTTGTGCCTAAACCTACTAACCTTAACAAACTCCTTAAAAGGTAAATGTTATGGCATTACCAAACGTATGCCAGTGTGACTGAAAAAGAGGCATCTGATGTCTTCAACTCCCTGGCCTTCCACTGCACAAAGTTTTAATTCACATTAGTCAAATGTCTTCATTGTACCAAGTATAGTGTTGATGAGATCAGAATCAAATCTGGAGCAGTAGGAATGGTGGGTGTACAGAAGCAAAGAGAAGTACAATTTACGTTAAAATTTTATAAATGTGAAAACATGAAAATGCACAGCTTTAGGAAATAAACTAATCAAAACACAAATTTTCCAAAATGTTTATGAACTTCATCTAAAGTTTGATTTAAGAAACAATAAAAGGATAATTATAAACTAAAAGGTATTAAAACATGGTGAATAGATATCTGTTATAATTTGAAAATGAGTGGTTTTTATAGGCTAACAGCAAAAAGTTCATAATAGACTAATAGTAGAACAAAGCTTTATTAATTTGGAATTTGTTATTTCTAAAATGGAGTGTTGCTGCATTTTCTGTCTCTATATAAAATTACCAGACACTCAGAGCATTAAGGTGAAAGCTGTTTGAGGCTGGGGTAATTAAACTGATAAAGGCTCATTTGATTTCAGTTCAACTGCAGAAAACTGACATGCATTTAATCAAAGAGTTCCTCAAGAGCAATACAGAATTACAAAGAATGCCTAAAAGGAGAATAAATTAAATACAACTAAATCTTTTAGCCTAATTGCATTTTTCACAGAAAGTACCTGATGCCTCATTATTCCCTTAGCTTCACTCACTTTCCTCTCTTTTCTAATCCTTTTGGTTGTAGTCCTCTAAATGCACCCCCATATAAACATAATACAAGAATTTCTCCACTGTCAAGTTCACGCCACTTGGCAAATAAATAATGTCTGGAGACAGCAGATGGCTAACTTCTTCAAAGTATGATTAACTTTGACTTGAGTACATCAAAAGAACCACCTGGGCACTATCTTCCCACCGCCTCAAAGACGGGAATTAGAAGAGGCAGGATCTGAACAGACACAGTGAAGCCACAGGGCAGTCTGGCTCATAGTTACCTGCTTTACATGCCACTTGGCCTTTCTCTTGCTTCTCAAAAAATGTGTAGAAGTGAGGGAGTCCAACCAAAAAGGAGCTTCTTAGCATGTATTCATAATACCAATGAGGAAACCTTTTCGTGGTTCTCCATTCTCAAGATATTTTAAGACTTAAGATTTTGAGCATGCTAATGATAACCTCTCACATTTGTAAAGTACTTGAAAATATAATGTACTTCTACATACTGATGACAGTTTAAGCTTCATAATGACTACAGGGTGGTACTATTATTGGCATATTACCACAGGTATTCTGCAATGGTTACTGTATAGCTTACCTCAATGCAGAGATTATTTTCATGACTGCACTGTGTACTACATCCTTGGGTGAGAAGTTGAGAGGACCAACCGCCACCTCTAGCAGCTGCTGAATCATTCTTAGAGGCTGACCATCTAAACACATGGCCACGGCTTGGTCATGAAGTTTTCCTTCCTCTGATCGGGACAGATCGTACAGGTAACTATATTTCTGTAGCATTTTCTGGAAAGATATGGTAATCAACATCTGACTATTAACTAGAAATTAAATGTGTCTACATATAGGAAACTAGTCTAAAGATCCACAAACTAAATAGATCCCCACCACTAACAGCACATCAAGGGTCACAAGTTGGTTAGTGGGTTTAGCTTCAGTTGTCAACTTGACACAAGCTAACTGGGTAATCTCCTCTACTGGACTGGCTCATGACCATGTCTATGAGGCATTTTCTTCATTGTTGACTGATACGGGCGGGCCCAGCCCACCGTGGGCGGTATGAGCCCCGCACATGCAGATGGTCCTGTGTTATATAATAAAGCAGGTTGAGCACAATCCAGGGAGAAGCCATAAGCAGCATTCCTTCATGGTCTCTGCTTCAGCTTTTGGCTTTAGGCTCCTGCTCTGACTTCCTTCATTGATGAACCTGGGAGGTATAAAATAAAATAAACCCTTTCCTTCACAAGTTGGTTTTAGTCAGTGTTTTTATCACAACAATGGAAAGTAACTAGGATACTACCTCGCTTTGAAAATATTTGTAAGAACTATCATTACAACAAATAACTTATAAGACACAAGCTATTTTTTTTTCAGCATACCACATACAGACACTGAACGACAACACTGTCTTCTAGGTTGTTTACAGTTTCCCTAGTAGTCATGAATATGTTTTGTTTTTGAAAACCCACATGAAATGTGAACACTAACTGGATTTTTAATGATATGAAAGAATTACTATTTTTTTATTGTGATATGTTGTAGTGGCTATCAATCTTTCAATGCAATGTTTTAGAGACAGACATGGAGGTACTTAATGGATAAAATCAAAGGCTAACTGGGATCTACTATACAGGCACAAGCTATATATAGGTAGGGTATTGATAAAAAAATTAAGTCATGTTTGGTACTTGATGCTGATAGCTGGGCATTATCTCCCCACTGTTCCAAATCGTCTATTAAAAAAGATATTATCTGCCCACTGTTTCAAATCTTCTATTAAAAAAAAAAAAAAGACAGTGGGCAAGGGGGTATAAAGATGATTAAGACTGATTGAGATATTCTGTATGAAATACATGAAAATCCAAATAATAATAATAATAAAAATAAATCCCTATGAATCAAGTAAGGCAATTCTAGCATTTCCACCTGAGAAGAGGGAACCAAAGCTCCATATCACAAAGGCCTTTGACTTAGACTGCACTAACCTTTATGTATAATTAAGGAGATTAAAATCAAAGTCTGAACTTAAGAGGGATAAATTTAAGGGATGAAGGTTATTTCCAGCTTTAAGATACCTTAACAAAATCAAATGATGTTCAGTTTAGAAGCAAGAGTCTCCCACAAGAGTCAAAGATGGTCAGACTGAATGGCTTTCACGAGGAGCAAGATGGTACTTTTAAATTCTATGATGAAATGAGCAGGTGTCTATGTTAAAATCACCTTAAATCCATATACAGCATGCTAGCCACCGAAGCACATTTGCTACCAAGAGAAAAAGGCTAATTTTATAATTTTAATATAGTATGTTCAGTTTAAAAAGTCAGCGAGTAGTGAGGAATTTATACACTAAAAAGTATAAATTACTTTTACTTGAAGATTCAAATTTTACCAGATATTCTAATTATAAATATGGTATTACAGATAATTAGGATAAAAATCAATATGAATAAAGCCAATTTGTTCCTACAATGGTTTATATACTGTTCATAACATTATTTAGTGATATTCATTAGATGAGCTAACAAATGCTGAAAAACAAACTTCTGAACTTTTGAATTCATTCCATTATCTTTTTAAAAAATTCATTATTTGTATGTTTTTGTATATGCTCATGTGTGGGCATGCACATGCCACTGCACACATGTAGAGGTCAGAGGGCAGCTTATAGTGCAGTTGGTTTTCGCCTTCCACTATGTGGGTCCTAGGGATCCAACTCTGGTCATCAGGCTTGGTAGCAAACATACTTATCCATTGAGCCATCTTGTTGCCCCATCATGTTTTTAATCAGTGCTTATGCATTTCATATACTGATAAGCAAGTCACCATCTAACTCTGATCAAGTCAAGTATATGACTCAGTAAGTGTGTGCAATTTAAGAAAAATTAAAGGGTAGGTAAGCAGCCACTTACGGGTTCATTTGCCATTGCATTCAAGGACAAGTAGACTATAATTCTTGTGTCTAAATATTACTTTCACTGGTACTTAGTGATCGATTAACTTCCTAACTATGAAAAAGAATACCAACCTCCCACATCTGTAAAATACAAAAGAAGTTGGCCATAGGGTACATGCCTACAATCCTAACATTTGGGACAAAAGGCAAGAGGATCACAAATATCAGGTTACTTCATGCCACGTAGTGACAGTCTATCTCAAAAACAAAAACAAAAACCAAACAAACAAAAACACAAAGGAGACTGGGGGCAAGATTACAAGGAGGTAGGCAGGGGGAAGGGAATTGGCAGAAGTTACTAAACAATGTTCAAAAATGTCACACTGACATCTAATACTTTGTGTGCTAATTTATAATAAGAAGAAAATTTCTGAAGACCTCACTGGACTTCTGGTTTCAGAGTACAGTGCTAACACGTAGGTCCTTAGACCTCACAAAGGGTGGGAACTCCTGAGCCTTACAGTGGTATTTTGGGGACACAAAAGGCTTAGCTAGAAATCCACTAGGAACAATTTTACTAGCCAGAACACTCCTATCAGTAGTAAAATTAAAGTAGAAGTAGGTACTACTAAAACAGGATAAAAGGTAGGAATGTACTTTTTAAAAATGGTTGAAGTACACACAGAAAAGCATATTCTTAAATGGGGGGGGCGCACTTTCTTTTGATTCAGTTAGAGAGCAAAACACCCAGTAGTTCCAATGACTGAGCACTGCCATCTTCAGCATTTCTGAACTTTAGAGAGTCCTCCACACCAGGGTATCTACTGTTCCTTCAGTTCTAACTACCCATCTCCTCTCCCCTCTCTTTTCTTCCCTTTCCAGGTACAATCTATGTTAAATGGCCCAAATTTCTTTTGAAAGAGTAAAAAGTAAAATCAAAAGACAATCAAATCACGATGAAGAAGTTAAAGGATAAAGATTTGAGGACCATTTTCATTTATGAAAACCTCACCAACATTACTGCTGCAGCTGGGATCTAAGCATCCCACAAAGGATCACTAATTAAAGTGTTACAGGGTAGTGGGACCTTTAAAACACAGGGCTCTGTGAGAGGTGAGCAGGTCAATGAAGGGCACAGTAGGATTCCATCCAGTCCTTTCTCTTTTCTCTCTCACTTCTTACCTGGGAGGTGATGGCTTTGTTCCATCACATCCTTTGGTCATCATGTTCTACCACAGGTGCAAAGCAAGGGTGCTAAGTGACCACAGCCTGAAACCTTGAAAACTGTGAGGCAAAAATAAGTTTTCTTTGTACAAAATGATTACTTCAGGTATCCTTGCAGCAATGGAAAGCTGACAGACCTCATTACTAATGTAGCTTTAAAGGAATAATGGAAGAATACCCTAGTACTACCCGAGCAAGTGATCATTCCCAGCCTCCACTGCTATACCTGCTCGCTGTTCTTCAGAGAAAGGATGAAGCTGTGGCTGAGGGTTTCCAAGTGAGCAAGCGACTGCTCTAGATGATTCAGGGCATCTGCATAGGTGACCTTAGAATCCCGAGCTTCCTCAGGGTCTTCTGCATTTCTTTTCCTTGGTTTTTCAATAAAATGCTTGACTGTCTTAATGGCCTTTCTAGTCATCTCTTCACGTACTTCCACTGAGAGCTGTAAAAGGTAATAAAGTTAGGAAAGCAAACCTGTACTGCACCTGGCATGTTCAATAAGGCATTAGTGAGCAAGTGAAATTTCTAACACAATTTAACGAAATTAGGACTTTGATTTTTTCTTCTTGTGAGGAAAACAAAAACAGCTAAGCACCATTTATACTATTAAAATAGTAATACATATTTTTTAAAAAATACTCAAAGCAGTGATGTTGGAAAGAATGAAATTAGAATTCACGCTGCCTGCTGGTTAAAGTGGAAAAAAACCTAATTTTACAACCATAATTTCCAGTTCTGATCACTTATTTACTATAAAGTAAAAATTCAAAAGAAACAGACAGCTGGACACAGTAGTACATGGCAATAACCCCAATTCTGGGGAAGTAGAAGCAGGAAGATGATGAGTTTCAAGCCAGCCTGGGCCAAGGAATGAGATCCTATGTGAAGACAACCAAAACTAGAGGGGGAGGTAGGAGGAGGGAGAAAGACAGTATGTAAAGCAATCAGAGCAGTGCCTTGCCCACAGCAAGTGCCCAATGAATGGAATCCACTTTTTTTTTTTTAAGGACAACATTTTATTGCTACCAGAGGCTTTTCTCACCAGTACATGGTTCATGCCTTCTTCAGACTGCAAAGGGAGCCCAGAGTGTAGACACACTGAGAGAAATACAGGCAGCACACTGAGAGAAATATAGGCAGGTTGGGAGGAGGGGCAATAACTTGTTATCAAGAAAATCCTAATAGTTAACATAAAACTAGGTTACTGAATTCAATTTCATGTTGCAGACTTATAAATCATAGAGCTGTCCCAGTGTCTATAGACAATTGCCCCTACTGATTATAAATGAGAACAGATTAGTTACAAAAATCTAATTAGATGTTACAATTTTTGTTTCTTTGGTGAGCACCTGATATGTTAACTTAATCACAAATTCTTTTGTACAAATGTCAGAAATGCTTTCAACAGACCTTCAAATTTCATGCCATTTTTAAGCTTTAAGATAAACAAAAGAGAAAATCGTCATTTTGTTTTTAAACTAAAAACTGAGACTAAGGAAACTTCTTCTATCAGCTCTGATTCACATGGGATGAAAACTGCAAAGTACAATGTACAGACCAGCTGGAACTTGAGTCTGATTTAAATATGGCTGCCACACAAAAAGAATTTGCTTATTGAATTGCTAAAAAATTAATTTCAGGATTACCTACTGACTGAAAGTTAGAATACATAGATCAACAGGCACAGATTTCATTTTATTTGATGGAGAAGAAAAAGCAACAGAAAACTAAATTAGGATATTGGGAACAAGGTTTTGCTAGCTATTTTGGAACTTTTCCCCTAAACATTAAATTGATTTTTTTTTGGACATGGGGCAAGCTCTAACAGAGAAAAGGAGTGGAACTCACATAGTACAAGGATTTTTTTTTTAAATATACTTTGATCTTTTGAGTTTATAAATGTATGCCATTATGTTAAATAATTTTGAGTTATAATTAGCCACACAAATAAATGTTGTGTTTTCTTTTTTCCTGGCTCACTTCAGTCTGCTAAAGCATATCCCCTTCTCTACAGTCTTCCCTGATTTTCTATGTTCTCATTCTCAGTCAACCTTAGAGTGCACTGGCAGGTAACACTTGAAACTACATGACAGAAACAGGCTGCAGAGGTGGACATGGGGAAGCATTCCCCTCTTGCCTTGACAGATCAGTGCCACACACAGAACCCACATTTTCTGAAGCATTATCTTCATTATAGAGCCGTTTGATTCCATCGTAGAAGTCATCCACTTCCATTTCCTCCACTTTGCATTTAGCAGAGGTATGCCTGCACCCACTGGCAGCTGGGAAATGATGGTAGAAGGCTGTTGTTCCTCTGACTGGCACTTCTGGCTTGCTGTTGTCCTTGGAGAAATCTGGGTCTTAGACAGAGGAGGGATGTAATTTGAACGCTCCTTTGTCGCAGGTTACCAGGGTGTGCTTGAGGGGAGGGTAGACATAAACGGAATTTAGAGGCAGGGAAGACTGCAGAGCAGAGAGGTGGTGTGCCACGAGCTCCCGACAGTGGATCAACTGGGAGCTATCCATCTGTGCTTTCTGAAGCAGCTCAATTGTAAGAGAAAGCCAATCAGGAAGGAGTTTCTCCATTTCCAGACTAACCATGGCCAGGGCAAGCATGGATCCTTTGAACTGCAGAAGTCGGCTGCAGGCCATGCAGTACAGCAGCTGCTTGGTCAGGACTGCCAGATGCTGGGATGGGCTCAGTTTGGGCAAACTGAAAAGTAACTGAGGCCTAGTTGACACTGCAATGGCATGGAAAATGTGAAGAAAATCCAATGGTGTGGCCGTGTGAAGATCCCAATTCAACTTATCCAGAATAATTCTCTCCATTCTCAAAATTTCAGATGAGGAACATCCACAGAAACTGTCTCTTGCCAATACCTTTAGGACTGGATTTTTCTCATCTTCTTCAACAGTCTTAGCAGCTAAAAAAAAAACAGCTGATTGCAATACAGTTCAAATATTTTGGGTGAGCCTTTACAGTAGCTAAAAACCTGTCCAAAAGACTGCTAGCCAGAGCAAATGTTTCTGGGTAAAGGTTGAACTGGTACTTGAGTTTGGCCAACCACTGAATTACTTCATCTCTCTGGGATGGAGAAACAGTCTGATTTGTATGTATTTTCGGCACATTGACCTTCCACATCTGGGCTTCCCTAGAGATTGCCTTTTCCAATAGGAAAGACAATCTCTGGTTTTCCAAAGGTCCTAGAAGCTTCATGATATCCTTTGGATTTGCCTGACACCCAGCTTGATGTAGCTACCTTCTCCTCCTCTTCCTCCTCCTCCTCCTCCCCCGCAGAGCTGTAGGCTTCACAGTGGTGGCGCGGGGTCATCCGCGGGCCCTTTACCACCTCATGCTGCTCGGCGCGCGGCGGTGGGGCGCGCGGGCCGATGGCCGGGCCGACTGAGGAGGGCAAAGGGGGCCTACCGGGCCGGCGGGGCGCGGGCGCTCGGGCGGGACGCACGGCTGCGGCCGGGGGTCAGTCAGCGAACTAGTTCCATGATGACCCTGGCCCGAGGCCGCCGCCGCCGCCGCCAGTCCCGCTCCTCCGACCGCCGCCGCTGGTGCCCAGGTGAGGAGGGGGCTCCCTGTCGCCATAGGGCGGCGGGGGCCGGGGAGAGGCTCGGGGTGAGGCCGGCTCTGCCCCTGCCCGGGGGAAGCGCCTCCGAGGGGAAATGGTGGAAGGGGGGAAGGGGAAAAAAGAAAAGAAAAGGAAGGGGAAAGGGGGAGAAAATAAGAAAAAGCGAGGCAGAGGCGCTGGCGCGTCCGCTCCCGGGGAAGGCTGGGGAGGGAGGGGGAATCCACTTTTAAATTTGATCAAACGATAAATGCACAGGCCATCATCCCTACCTGATGACTTTTCATATCCCTAGTGAATTTCTCACATAACTCTTTTAGAGACTCATTTTTTATTTTTAAAATAAGCTCCTTGAATTCCTTAGCATGAAACTCAAGGATTTTCACAAGCTGTCTCCAAGCCAGACCTCTAGTCTCATGATATAACTGTAGCCCATGACCTAGACACCCGCCACACAGACATCACATCATTTCCAGGTGTCATTATTGATGTCTCAATGAAATGTTTGCTTCTCCTTTCTTGGCAAGGCCAATCTCTGGCCATGCTTCAATTGAAGGCACATGAAGTCAAGCCAGATTAATCTGGTCATTCAGCTCCCACCTTCAGTCTACCACAAAGTCCTTTGCTGCTACATGCACAGCCTACATTCATATAAATGACTTATTTTTATTTGTGTGTGTGTGTGTGTGTGTATGCCATATGCCTTCAGGTGCCCACAGAGGCCAAAGGAAGGCATCAGACCCCTTGGAGCTGGAGTTACAGGTGGCTGTGAGTCACCCAACATGGGTTCTGGGAACTAAACTTATGTCCTCGGAAAGAGCAGCAAGTGCTCTTAATTGAGTCTTCTCTCCAGCCCCAGGACTCGTCTTCTCAAGTATACAGGGCTCAGCCTCCACTGCATCACCTTACTCTGCACTCTCATACAATGAATGCTGTTACAGGTCAGCCTGTTTTCAACAGTTTGAATTTTCTGACTCTTGTACCACACCAAAAAGTGTTTTCTTTCACCTAACAGATCCTTCAACAGATCTTTTCCTCAGGGGTCACATGGGCTTGGGAGGAGTCTCTGGTTCCTTTCTTTTACCAGTTCTGCCCATGTGAAGATAAGTCAAAGGCCCTACTCAATCATGGTTGACTTCGCTTGCAAGCATGGAGGAAGTGATTCCTCTGTGTTGACCCTCCACTTTGTAGACTGGACACTGGTTCAAGTCCATCTGGTGGGGTCTCCTCATCCTCCTTGATCAAGAGGATAGGTGACCCACCACCATTATAGGAAATTTTGAGAGATGCTCATAGTCCCCTGGAACTAGTTGACCTAGGAGGGCAAGGAGCAAAAACTGTCCTTTTCGTCCCTCTGACCACCAGTCTGGAATGTTTAATTACTGTGTGTCATGTGGATAAATCTTGGGCTAAGACCAGTTGTTCTCAGATAAACCTTACCGAGAAATATATTTTTTGATCTGCTATGTATAATTTGTCAGTAGGGTGTAGGAGTAATATGGTTCCCTCTGGTTTTCAAAACTAGCTAGGCATTGTTTATCTCTCATATTGTCTCACCCCTCCATCATGGTTTTCCCACTTAAGGAGCACCCATTTCCCCCATTTCTCCCTTAATAATACCCTTCTCCTATGGTTCTACCCCTCTTGAGCTTCTTCTTTCCTCTTATGCCCTAGGTTCCTTCCCTCCCTCCTCCCTTAAACTAACCCAATTTTTATCCATATCTCCCTTATTAAGGCCTGTTTCCTACTGTTCTCTTTCAGGTTCTTTCTTTTCCATTACCTCCCTGTTTCCTTTCCATTATCCTGGTTACTGTAGTTATGTCTGGTGGCATACTTATTTATCAGAGTCTGATTCTAGGATCTACATATGAGGGAGAACATATGTCGATTTTTTTTCTGAGTTTGTGTTACTTCACTTAGTAAAACAGTTTCTAGTTCCATCATCTACCTGCAAATTTCATGATTTCATCTTTCTTTACTGCTGAGTAAAACACCACCGTATAAATGAAGCACATTTTCATTATCTACTCGTCAACTGAGGGACACTTAGGTTGCTTCCATCTCTTAGCTATTGTGCAAAGAGCAGCAACAAACATGGATGTACAAGTGTCTCTGCAACAGGATGAGTTCTCTGGGTATATGCCAAGGAGTGGTAAAACTGGGTCAAATGGTAGGTTCATTTGTAGTTTTTTAAGAGTTCTCCACACTGCTTTCCACAGGGGTTGAACCAGTTTGCAGCCCCACCAGCAGTGGATGAGTGTTCCTCTTTCCCCACATCCTCTCCAACATTGGGGATCATTTGTTTTCTTGATCTGACTGGGGTAAGGTAAAATCTTAGAGTGGTTTTAATTTGCATTTCCCTAACTTCCTCCAGTTAATGTTCTTGGACCCTTTGTAAAATATCAGGTGGCTGAAATTGCATTTACTCATATTTGGGTCTTCAATTTTGTTCCATTGGTCTATGGGTTTATTTTTTGTGACAACCATGCAATTTTTATGACTATAGCTCTGTAATATAATCTAAGATCTGGTATGGTGATCCATCCCCCCCCCATTTTGTTCTTTTGCCCAAGAATGCTTTGGCTATCCATATACTTTTGCACTTCCATATGAATCTTAGGATAGTTTTTTCCAATTCTGTGAAAAATGTCATGGGGATTTTGATTGGCATTGCATTGAATCTATATATGACTTTTGGTAGGATGGTCATTTTCACAATATTAATTCTTCCAATCCATGAGCATGGGAGGTCTTTCTATCTTCTGTCTTCCTCAATTTCTTTCTTTAAAGATTTAAAATGTTGATTGTAGAGGTCTTTAAAGTCTTTGGTCAGGATTTTTCCAAAATATTTTATTTATTTTTTTTGCAGCTATTGTGAATGGGAGTGTTTCCATGTGCTCTTTCTCTGATTGCTTGTTATTGGTATATAGAAAGGCTATAGACGTTTGTAGGTTAATTTTGTAAACTGACACTTTACTGAACGTGTTAATTCCTAGGAGTTTTTGGGTGGAATTTTTGATGTTCTTTAGATGTAATATCATATCATCTGAAAAAAGGGATAATTTGATCTCTTATTTTCCAATTATTGTTCCTTTAATTTCCTGCTCTTGTCTTATTGCTCTTGCAAGAGTTTCAAGTACTATGTTAAAGAGAAGTGGAGATAG